ATAACTACCCATGAACTTCTATACCTGAAACCCCCGGAACCAAGGGCCTTGGCTAGAGCTAAGCTTTGGCCTGCCCAGACCGAGCATCCATCGTGGGGAGTACATGCAAAAGACTCGAGTGTTCTGAGGAGTTTGCTGTATGTTTGTTTCAATAAAGCTGGGAGGAATTCGTTTAACAGGTTTGTGGGATGGTGCTAAGAGCACTTAAGCAGAAAGCAGCAAGATGGGTTAGGAGCAGGCTTTTAGAAGCGGTGGACGCAAACATCACGATAATCACATCCTAGGAAAATCCCATCTACAACAGTCCTTCTGAATTGCTGTTTGGACCTGAGCGGACTCAACCCTACACCCCAACGCTGAGGTCCACAGCATTTCAAGATTCAGACTAGGTTCAGGATTTGCCCGCCTACATGCATGAACTCACAAGTTCGAAGTCAGCAGCCTAATCCCGGATCACCACAACCTCTTGCTCCAACCTTAAGTACATGAGAGCCTCCAAGACAAAAAATGTAGATGTCCTCTAACCGTACAGACCTCTCGGCCAACCAACGAATCTAAATGCTCCCAATCCCCCACCCGCCAGCATGCCCGAGCTTATAAGGAAGGTCCTGGTAGCTTCTATAGGTCTTGCTGTTTGTGTAATATCGCAGATGGTATGGCATAATCGATAGCATCTAATGTCGAATCCAGTAATCTGGAAGCTCCCCAGGTGCTACGACCAGGAGCAAGAGCGCATGGCACCTGCCCTCAGACCATTGCGGTTTAGGTGCTTCTTAATAAGTCTTAGGGGACCCGGGGATGATTGGGCTTTTAGGATTGGAGCATTTAGGGGTGCGGTGTCGAGGGGACTGCGGATGATTGAGGGTTTTGCCCTTCTGTAGTTGTGTGGTTCGCAGTTCACGGAAGGTTCATACTTTTGGATCCGTGATACCAGGTTCGCGGGAAGAGGGTTTCCGGAAAGGGCTAAAGGCCAAGCGTACCCTAATCTCTAAACCCTTCCCCCCTTTACTTCTAGAGTCTAGAGTTTCCTCACATCTCTCAGGATGCCCGAGGATTCGTAGTTACAAGTAGGGTTATAAGTATGGTTCCCTTAGAGGTTCTATACGGTTTAGGACAGGGTTATTAGTGGGGTAACTTTATTTGTTACCAATACTTGGGGACTTCTTATAACTACGCATGAACCTCCAAGCGAGGCAGCTATGATCAAAGCTGCTTGGCTTAGAGGAGCCGCGAGATGACCAGCCGTGATGGCATGGTCAGGAGAAGAGAAGCAAGAGTGCTGAGTACAACGGCAAAAACACAAACGCAAGACTGCCAACCATGGAAAATCTGTACCAACAATGATGACGATGATGATGATGATGATGATAGTGATGATGATGCTGTTGTTGATGGTGCATGCGGAGACGGTTTGCGTCAAGTGCTCCCGAAGACTATAAGAAAGGCTTGTAAGCAGAGGCGTGAAGCCGCAACCCCTGTACTATAAGTCTCACCCTAAGGCTCTAAGGACTCATATTTGAAGGGTTTTTGGGCCCAAAGCCATAATATATAAGGCTGTTGGGCTACATTGAGCCATAGGGTCAAACCTTAACCCCTGAGCTGCAGAGTGTGAAGCCTTGAAGCACCGAGGTTGGATCAGGTTTGGCTAGAAGGTTAAAGCTAGGGTTTAGGGTTTAGGGCTCAAAGGCAAGAACCGAAAATGTCTTGGTGCACCGACCAAGGTCTGCACGTTCCTGAAGGAGCGCGCAAGAATCTGCAGTGGGCCCAGCCTGCGGCATCGGAGAACGGGATGAATGGGATAAGCATGGTATGAATTCGAAATATTGGAGAGAACCTTAACATTGCGCTGATACAGGAATTTTCAGTTCCAGCGTACATGACACTGGCAAGATTAAGTTTGCTTGCAGTGCCAGTATCAGGCAAAGATGTGCAAGGATGATCTACTACAGTCATCAGCGACGGGTACAAAGCATAGCTGTGCTAGAACCTGAGAGATGTAGGGTAGAACAGCACGCAATCGTAGGAAGCCGCCCAAATTTTGATCTAAATCTTATAAGTCCTAACTCCTAAATCTTAATAAACCCTAAACCCTACACCCCGAGTCCCAAGCCCAGCCGTAATAGCCCCGAAACCGTAAACCGGCCACAAGACCAGGAGGTCTCGTGGGACGAAGCCCTAATGCACGATGCAAGCATACTTCAGTATCTATTGTCTCCGTTGTAATTCCTTTTGTTGGTTGCCTTTTTAGGAGGTATAGCTGAAAAATCTCTAAACTCGAGAAGGAATAGTCTCCATTGTAGTTCCTTTTTGGGGCTACTTTTATAGGATCCTAAACATCAGACTCTAGGTATACCTGAAAAACCTCCAGAAGCAGGAAACTATAGTTCGGGCCTATATAGTTAGGGGTATCTATATCCTGACTCCTAAGCCCGTACTTTGCATGACCTGCCATAGACAGGGGCATCTTTAATCCTAAACCCTGAACTCTATGTAGACCGTTAAGAGCCTACTTTTGTAAGGAAGTCATAACAAGGTCTAGGGTCAACGTACATCCTATACCAGTCCTATACCGAAATCTTAAACCCAAACCAGGAACCCCAAAAAAGGCAGAGCCCAGAACCCTACATTACTGAGATCCCAAGGCAGCGGCTACTTCCTGCGTCCGAAGATGAAAGCCACGGGCTTCAGCTTCCTCTCGCAGGCACAGGGGTTTTCTCGGCTTTAGGGATTTAGGTCTAGAGTTTAGGGACCTTGTTGTGGCGTTTTTGTCGGTTTCTACAGGCTTTTCGGTATCATTTCTACAGAGTATCGACTGTTATTCATAGGTTTCATGTGTGGGGCGAGAAAAGGTCTAACGAAGCTATAATCTACTATAGGGGGTACAAGGCTTTGAGTCCATGCGCAAGATTTTGGGATTTAAGGTGCGTAAGCTGTTTAGGTTGAGGATTTAGGTGGAAGTGGAGAGTCTAGGGTTCGGCTGATTCTCATATGCGAAAACCGCCCTACTGACTTACACACTGACAGTTGTGGCACCGAAGGTCAGGCTGTGGGTTAGGGTTTAGGGTTTAGGGTAAACCCTAACCCCTAAACCGTGCAGGGCCCCTGAAACCCTGAACCCGGAGTCCTGGGCCTGAAGCCTGCTTTGCCATAAAACCCTAAGCTTCTTAAGCCTAAATCTTCAACCGCGACGACCAGGAGCCTAACTCCTGACTGCAGGAAATACGGAAGCTCACGTGGTGGCGCTGGATCCTGCTCTTGGCATCTCGTCAGGGAACACTGGTATAAAAGAGACCTACCTAGGCTCTCCTGGACACATCATAGCTTAGAAGTTGAAAGTTATGCTGTCTTACGGCTGTAGGAGTTTATCTTATTTTGTCGGTGTCTTTGGCAGGATGTGTGTGCGTGTGTATGTGTGTGCATGTGTGTCTGATGTAAAGTTTGAGGTCTTAGGATTCGTCGAGTGTGCCGTGGCCTTGTGTCCAACCCGCAAACAGCACTGCTCTGAAGTGTTTAAAGCTACGGCACATTCATAAGTTTAAGGTTTCATGATAAGTGTTATGATATTCGATGTTTGTTTTTTTGATGTCCCTTGCCGGATGGACGTGGCTTCTAATCGTTTAGCAAAGGGGGTTTAGGTTCTACCTGTAGCCGAAAGATCTTATCCGCTTAGAACTCCTTGTTATTGTTTTTATATGTCCGCAAAAAGGCAGGTTGTGTTGGCCACAGGTGGGGTTGAGTTTGGTGTGTTGCGGCCGTGCGTTGCCGACCCTCAGCCATTCCCTGGCCCCTGCAGAGCCTACCACTGTAGGGTCCTAGCCCCTGTTTCTATCGGTCATATAAATATACTACATTTTATACTAAACGGGGCAATTTTGGAGCGGCCAGGTGATCGAGAAAAGGGCCCCGAGCACAGCATAAAGTACACCAGGACCTTACAATCGCTGCATTATAAACCCTATACCCAGAGCTGTAGACGCGCGGGCTAAGAGCCGAGGTAGTCGTCGTGGTCTTCTATGGCGTGACTCTCTTCCTTATCTCAGAGGCTTGGTGTTTAGGATTTGCGGGCTTCGGGTTGCGGCCTGGAGGGCTTTGGTGGCTTGAGGTTGGCACTTTGGTGTCTCCGGGCTGCTGTCCATGGCTTCAGGGATTTGGGGGCATAGAGTTTACGTACCTGAACCAACCAAGAAAATGCGTAGGGGTCCTGCTGTCGCGATTCCGGACATGAGTTCAGGCTTGACACAGGTGTTTGGAGTTCAGGTGTTTAGGGTTCAGGCTTTTGATTTCGGGTTTGGGGCTTGGGTTTGGCCAAGGGAATAAAGTTTGGCAAGGGTATGTTTAGCGTTGGCATTTATTTGCGGCACTTGCACATGGGCATGAATTTTAAGCGCTTTGCAGCGGTTTCAGGGTTTAGGGTTTAGGGTTTAGGGTTCAGCGCTTAGTGGACTTCGGAGAGCTTGGGAAGTTTGCTGTCTTGATCTTCGCACATGTAGCCCTAACCCTCCAGGTACCTACTATATAGGGCCTTAGGGGCTCTAGTACCCGATATAGCAAGTACCTGGGGGGTTAGCGTAGGACTAGGATTTCTTAGATGCTCCTTCCGCCCTCTATGATAGACCTAGATTTTTGTGATTTGCCCATTGGCCTCTACGCTTCAGGGCTTGTGGCATCTGACATGACCCCAGGGTGTAGAGACCCAAGAACTAGGCATGGGTTTTAGGATAGTGTGTGGACCCCTGTACGGGAAACTAAGCGCTACAGCCCAAAGACACGAAGCGCAGTACAGCAGACCGCCCGATATTCCCGACCAGGCAGACATCGTCACGGCCTGGTTTGGCGACAGCTGGCTGCAGCTAGGGGTACAGGCTTGGGTCAAGTGTCCTGGTGATGTCGCACAGCCTTTTATCAGCAGATGTCCGGCATAGGGTCATCAGAGATCTAAAGGTCAGTACCTTGGCGGTGCCAAACGGGACCCAGAACTGCCAAAGTCCTAAACAACATCGTAGGAGAGAGTGGCCCGATTGTACAGAAGCCTGAATAGTTACCAAGCATCCGACACCCTCTACTCTGAAAGCCTAAACCCTAGACCCTATCTGAGCAAGCCGAGGCTGTTTATCCATCCCTGTCGGCTGTGGCCTGAGCGGGGGGCAAGACGGACAGTACCCTAAACCTTAAACCCTATACCGATGCCCTTAACCCCCTACCCCAACCATAAACCCTTCCAGCCCTAAACCCTATAAGCCCGAAGCCCTAAACTACGGTTGAGAGATCTGTGTGGGTTTTCGGTAGGGCTCAAAGCGTTGAGATTTCCGCGCGCAGGTCTATGGTGGCTAGGGTTTGTTGAGGGCACAGGGTTCACGCTGAACGAATTCGGGTTTCAACATGAACCCCGAGCATGGGCCTACCTCTGAATCCTCATGATCCCTCAACCCGGGGTCTAGGGTTTGGGGGTTTAGGGTTTAAGGTTTAGGGTTGTGGGGTTTAGGGCTTAGGGCCTAAACCCTGAAATCTACAAAACTTCCAAGTGCTCCCAAACGTCCTCAACATCGCAAAGCCCTAAACGCATAAACTCCAAAAGCTCCCGACCTGCATCCATACTACACCCGACAGTCCAGCCCTAGCCCTACACTGCCCTATGAAGCCGCAAATCCAACATACTTCGGCTCACTTGCCGTCCTATCCACCTCCACCCAAAACCCTGAATACTCAAACCCCACCCTAAAGCACCAAACCACCATCTCACGACTCCAAAACCCAAGCCGCAACACGCAGATCCTCAACACCCCAGAACCCAGAGACTCCAATATCCCCTAATTTAGGAATATACCTTAAGTCATCTTAGGGATCCTACTATAAGTTAATTCAGGTACATATTCCTTAACTAAAGGATAGTGGAGTCTCTGGGAACCCCAAAACCCGAACCCCCTAAACTTTAAACCCCAGAGCCCCAGAGGTCCTTTGCGTGCAGAGCATCTTCCGGGATTGCGCCACGACGAACTGGAAGAAGAGCTACCTCTGGCTTTGCCAGGGCCCAAAAGCGGGGTGCTAGGTGGCAAGTTGGGAAACTTTAAAATTTCCCTTATGGTTTCTATAGAGGTACCTATTCATAAACACTTTTCAGGGCCCCCAAACTACAACCCAGGGTGTAGGTTTAGGGGGTGTAGGTTTAGGGCTTATAGGACTTAGGATGTACTGTCTAGTGTTGAGGGGGTAGGATTCAGGATTACTTTATGAACCCTGAACTACTAAACCCTAAGCTACTGAACCATACTAACCCCTAAACTACTGAACCATGCTAAACCCTAAACGACTGAACCCTACTAAACCCTAAACTGCTAAACCATACTAAACCCTGAACCCCTAAACCCTAAATCCTAAACCCCTAAACCCTAAATCCTAAACTACTGAACCCTAAATTGCTGAAAGCTTCTAGGGTCTCTTTAGGAACCAGCCCCTCTCAGCCGAGAGCTAGGCCTCAAGGGACTAAAGGAGCGACCCTTAAAGGGACCCTTGGGTTTAGGGTTAAGGGTTTAGGGTTAAGGGTTTAGGGTTTAGGGTTTAGGGTTTAGGGTTTAGAGGGTTTGGGGTAATATAGGGGCTTTATGAGACTACATAAGGGGTATATAGGGGTTATACAGGGTATTAGGATTGGGGGTCCCTAGTCTACTAGTGTCCCTTAAAGACCAGAAACCCCGAGAGTACCAAGCCGCGGGCCTTTAACGCTGAAGGGTTCAGGGTTTTAGGGTTTAGGCTTTCAGGGTTTAGGTTTTATAAGGGCTTCAGGGGTTTGGGTTTTAGGGTTTTAGGGTTTAGGGGTTTCTGCGACGTAAACCCTAAACCTCCTCTGTCTCGTGGCATCGCCGCGAGCCAAGGCCATGAAAAGTCGATCGATGAGGCCGCCGGCTCGGACTTGAAAGTTTGCGAACTGGGGTTCCTATACGTTGGAAGACTTCTATTAGAAGATTCAAGAGTTCCTGTTCATGAACTTCTTGCAAGAATGCCTTTACGGCTACCTTTCGGAGTCAAGGATCTAGGACTTCTGGGCTGAGGAGTTCAGCTCGTAGCTTGTGCTTAAAGGCTGAGACTGGCGAGGAGTCGAGATTAGAGGTTTACCTACCGCTTGCTTAGGGTACCTGGTTCTTTAGTTAGGATCTGTTATATAGAGTAGTATGTACCCTCAAACAGGGGTTGGGTATGAGCCTCTCAGTAGAGTCTAGGCGTAGTCAGGGTCTTTCGTTTATAGGGCTTACAATTTAGGGCTTTGGGGGTTTAGGATTTGTGGTGTTTGGTTGGAGGCCTCAGGGCCTGAGGGTTTAGGGCTTCTACTAGGGTTTTGCTGCGACGGCTGCAGGCTATGCCAGCCATGTTTGAGATTGATCCCGAACTGCGTCTTTCACTTAGCATCTTTGTGCCCTTCTCCGGGCTCTTCTTCCGGAGGATCTTGTTCAAGTTACCACAAAAAGGAAACCCTGTTTTTTACCTTAAACTATAGATCCCTGTTCTGGTAACTTAGGTTAGCTTCTTATTTGAGGCTGCGTTCCCCCAAGGGTAATGGGCATTTATTGTGTGTGTGTGTAGACTCTTCCACACCAGAGGTGTAGGTAAGGTCCCCGGGGCAGAGGAAAACGGAAGCAACAGTGCAGCAACCCCTCGCAACATGTGTGCTCAGCCCAGAAGCCTTGTGAGCTGAAGGTGTGCAATCACATGGCGTGCTGCG